GTTGCGGTTTGGGCACTCGGTGTCTAAAAGGTTCGCCATCACTGCCCTATTCCTTACCCTTGTTGCATACTTTCCTAATGATAAAAAAAGAAGTTACTACTCTTCTGAAGAGGGGGATGGGAGAAGCTGAAGCCCATTGTCCCTTGGCTGGTGGGGGAAATCCCAAGGGGAAGGACTTTTCACCAATGAGAAGCTACACTTTCTCACAACATTTCCTCTAGAGCTGAAACTGACCTGAAGGTTAATAAGCTTAACTTCCAAGCTCTATAGCTCATGTGGAGACACAAACAGCAATGCCAATCTTGGATGTGGAAGACACCTCTGTTTTAACTGTTGTATGTGAAGTGAATAGGATGCTATGATTTTCATGTCTTGCTTATATAATTTACCATTAATATCTCATTAGTAATTGCAGGAAGAGAAGAGTGGAGCAGTCTTTCAATCTGGTCTGTCTTTACTTATATTCTTAGCTGTGTTTTCCTTATGCAGGAGTAGCTACTGTAAGCTTCCTTCTGCATCTGTTCTTCAAGTACACATTTATTTGCTACCTGCTAAGGATACAGATAAGGCAGTTAAAAATATTTTCTCAGTTGAAGAGAAAGAGGAGCAAATGGATGAGGGTTTTGTAGATTGTAACTAATCAATTTGAAGGATCAGCTTCTCCCACATGAGCCTATCTGCATTCATTAGAATCCTTGCTCTGCTTTTGCTACCCTCAGAGGTATAGTTATGATGGCAGATTTATGAATACTGCACAGTATTCTAAATTGTGCAACTTTATACTTTAAGAATTGTAACTAGTTCTCTCCTTATTGCTAGTTTTTAAATCTGGGTGACCTTATATGATCCCAATAAACATTACTTTTTTTATTAAATAAGCACATTTACTTTATTTTAAAAAAGTATTTAAAAGATTTATATGGTCACCCATCTTGTGGCATACAACAGTAATAAAAAAACAAATAGCAACATTACAAAAAAAAAAAGAGAGAAAAAATAGGAATCTACATAATCAGTTACACCCATTCATCTGTACAATCCTGGTGCTTCAATCTTACCATCCCAGCACCAGGAGGGAAAGCCAGCTGTTCATGACTTTCCAGAAGATTTAGAGGATAGGGCCTCCTGGATCTCAAGGGAAAAGATGTTCCATAGGGCAGGAGCTGCCACGGAAAAGGCATGCTTCCTAAGCCACGCTAGAAGGCATTGTTTAAGAAAGGGACCTGCCTGCTCTACCTCTTCTATGTCTCTGTTTCTTTCAAGGCCATAAGACGCATCATAGAGAGAGATGGCCTAAGTTCAGATGCTGCCAAACTGCGGATACAAAGCCAAATGCCTAACAGCCAGCGTGTGAAGCAGTCACATGTAGTCCTTTGCACAATGTGGGAGCCAGAAATTACACAAGAAATGGTAAGGAAAACGTAATAGCTGCAAATGAGTAAAGGCAGAATCTTATGGATCTGTTAAATGGATTTTCTTTGGAGAGTCATCCCCGATATGCTTATTGATTAATCCCTCTATCCATTTTTGCAGGTGGAAAAAGCTTGGGCTCTGCTTCAGAAACGCATCAAACTGAAATAGACCCATGAACTGAGATGCGATCACCTCTTCATTCTGCCCCCTCAGTGCTGCCAGTATGGAAAAGTGTGCACCCATCAGGAGTACCCATTCTAATGAGGGCAGAAGTTGAGGGTAGAGATAAAGGAAACAGAGTTCCAAACACTTGGTGTTGTGTGTGGGGGATGATATTCCCTTTGATCTTTTTTCCTCTTGAAAAAGGTTCAGGGAGAAGCATGAAGTAACTTTTGTATATCATAGGATTTGATATTTTTTTTTTATTCGGTTGGGGTACCTGCTGAGCAGGAAGGAAAAGACGCTGTTATGTGAAGCCACTGATGTTACATGTTTTTGTTGGAAGCAATTTCATTAATGCTGTTACCATAACAAAAGAAGAAAATCCAGGGTTACATAGGCATGGCATAAGTGCTCTGTTTAGTCTCCACTGTTTTGTATTTGATATCCTTTATGCAAAAGTTACATATAAAGAAAGCAAATATATTGGCTTTGTGTGATTGTCTGTTATTAATGGGAACTTTTCTGATTCAGTAGTGAGTGGGTTTCTTACTCAGTCTTTTCTGGGACATCAAGTTTCACAAATACAGTTTAAAACAATTTTTCTTATTTGAATTTGCTTTCAATTCTATTGCCTAATTCAGATCTTTAAAAGAGATAAATAGAAAAAGTTGGCAAGTTTTTACCAAATAGTATACTTTATCTCAAAACTACAGCAAAATAAGATATTTTTGTTTTTCAAAATCTTTTCAAAAATCAAATTTGAAATATTTTTTTAAAAATTCATTTTGGTGTTTTTAAAATCACTTGAATTTAAATATTTCAATTACATTTCTCATCATTGAAGATATGGCATGCATTTATAGTGAGCACCTGACCAGCCTAGACGAGTTCAAATCACAGGACCAGATGGATTACACCCCAAGGTTCTCAAGGAACTGGTAGATGTGATTCAGAACCACTGAACTATATTTTTCAAAGATCCTGGAGCACTGGGGAACTACCAGAGGACTGGAAAAGAAGGAAAAGGGAAAAAATGGATCCAGGAAATTACAGACCTATCAGCCTGACCTCAATACCTGGGAAGATTCTGGAAAAGATAATCAAACAACAAATCAACGAACACCTAGAGGCAAACAAAGTCATTACTAAAAGCCAAGATGGGTTTGTCAAAAACAGATCATGCCAGACAAATCTTATTGCATTTTTTGACCAAGTGACAAAATTAGTGGACCAGAAGAATGCTGTGGATATAATTTACTTGGACTTCAGTAAGGCATTTGATAAAGTAGATCACAACCTATTACTTGATGAGATAGAAAAATTTGGGTTAGACAGCATCACCACCAGATGGATTCGTAGCTGGCTGACCGGTCATTTTGGATTTGTAGCTGGCTGACTGGTCGTACTCAGCATGTGGTCCTCAATGGAACTGCATCTACATGGAGGGAAGTGTGTAGTGGGGTGCCCCATTGCTCTGTTCTAGGCCCAGTGCTCTTCAACATCTTCCTCAACTATTTGGACAAGGGGATAGATGGGGAACTTGTCAAATTTGCAGACAACACCAAGCTGGCAGGAATAGCTAATATTACAGGAGGATCTGGACAGACTTGAACACTGGGTGCTAGCTAACAAAATGAAATTCAATGGTGAAAAAAGTAAGGTTCTACATTTAGGCAAGAAAAACCAAATGTACAAGTATAGTATAGGGGGTACCTTGCTCAATAGTAGTGACTATGAGAGGGATCGTGGAGTCTTAGTGGACAATCACCTAAATATGAGCCAGCAGTGTGCTGCAGCTGCCAAAAAAGCCAACACAGTGCTAGGCTGCATAAACAGGGATAGAATCAAGATCATGTGAAGTATTAATACCACTTTACAATGCCTGGAATACTGCATCCAGTTTTGGTCACCACAATGTAAAAAAGATGTTGAGACTCTAGAAAAAGTACAGAGAAGAGCAACAAAGATGATTAGGGGACTGGAGGCTAAAACATATAAGGAACGGTTGCTGGAATTGGGTATGTCTAGTTTAATGAAAAGAAAGACGAGGGGGGACATGATAGCAGTGTTCCTATATCTCAGGGGCTGCACCAAAGAAGAGGGAGTCAAGCTATTCTCCAAAGCGCCTGAAGGCAGGACAAGCAACAGGTGGAAACTAATCAAGGAGAGAAGCAACCTAGAACTAAGGAGAAACTTCCTGACAGAACAATTAACCAGTAGAACAACCTGCCTCCAGAAGCAGTGAATGCTCCAACACTGGAAGTTTTTAAGAAGAGACTATACAGCCATTTGTCTGAAGTGGTATAGGGTTTCCTACCTGAGCAGGGGGTTGGAGTAGATGACCTCCAAGGTCCCTTCCACCACCACCACCACCACCACCACCACCACCACCACCACCACCACCACCATTATTATTATTATTATTATTATTATTATTATTATTATTATTATTATTATTATTATTATTATTATTATTATTATTATTATTATTATTATTATTATTATTATTATTATACCAAGCCAAATCCCAAAACACTCAGGAATTTCTAGAAGCCTGGCATGCTGACAAATCAGCTATCCATAGACATAGACATTAACAACATCTATAGATTATCACCCAGCCCAAAAAGGAATAAAAAGACCCAAGCACCTCTCCAATCAGAACCCAGATCAGCACAGATTAACTCCAAGGTTAATCTAATCAGACCAGCAATCAAGTAAACAATACCCCAATCAAGAAACTGCCAATGAAGCCAACAGCAAACAGCCCAGCCAAATAATCTCTTAAGACCACCCCCACCAACACTGACAGGCAAGCCACTAGAATATAAACTGACAGCAAACTGCACTCCTTACTAGCACTGATGATGTTACTTAGTTTGGGTAATGAAACGTCTGCAAAAAATAAGCAAGTTCAGAGAGCACCAAGCCCCCCCCCCCTAAATTAACCATATCGATTCGATCATCACAACGCAGCCTTTACACAATACGCTGTTGGGAGGTGGAATTTCAGCTTCGATCATTTTGTTATGGTTTAGTGCTTGTCTGAATCTAGCCAACTTGCTACTTCAGTAAAATCAAGTTAAAACACTCAAACGAAAATTGCTCGGTGCGGATAAAGTTACCCTTGGCCATACACTTGCCAACCAGATTTCATCCGATACGATCCTAGCTCACCCATGGATGTTAAAAGGTCTTTTAAAATCCGAAATGGGAAAATTGGACTTCTTCCTATCTTTGTAAAGAATAATGACGCTTATTCTCTTAAAAAAAAAAAAAAAAAGCCAGCCTAGTCGCGGTGGGCGGATCGGGCGCGCCTGGAAGGGTATGAAGGGGTGGAGCAGAGGCGGCCGGAGGGCGGAGTTACTTCTGGTCTTTCGCCGGTTCATTCGGAATCACTGGCTCTCGGGCGGCACATTTGAGCGATGGCTGGAGCCAGGCACCTTAGCAAGAGTTTGGATGCCTTTCGGGGACTTTTCGAGAGCAGTTTGAGTCCGCGTTTTCCAAGTGGAGCTCGGTAAGAGGGAGCGCTGGCTAGAGGAAGAAATGATGGCTTGGGGGTGGGTGGGTCGGATGTTCGGGAGATCCTGTCTTGTCGTGATGCCGGTTTCCTTTCTCCCCAAACTGAATCTGGTCCCTACTGGCGGGCGAAACCCGCTGCCAGGAGCAGGAAAGCAGGCGGGTCCCATGGCCGGAGGCTGGCTGGATTCGCACGATATATTAAACTGGGCTAGATATTTTGTTGGTGGGAATGCCATGATTCATTTAGCCAGAGCGTGTTTATGTGAAAGCCGCACCTCTCTTTTATTAAAGCATTAACGCTTGCTAATAATAAACTTTATTACGGTCGTAGACCAGCAATATTAACGCTTGCTAAAGAATTAGGAAGACATGGGAATCCAATTTTTCTGATGGCCACCTTATCATTTCTGTTTGCAACGATGTTTAAGACTTAAAAAGTTAAAGCAGATGAGCATCTGGGAATAGTACCACCGAATCCCGTGGGTTTATTTCTTCAGAGTAACAATTCTAAAAAATTCTTAGTTATCACTTCAGTGAACATTGAACAATAACCATAGCATATACTTAAAACTAATATCTTCGTACACACACAGGTTTCTTGAACTCAGGGATTGCTAAATATGTTAGGCTAAAATCCCATAATCATTGAACACAGTATATAATTCCAATAATATAAATCAATGAATGCGTTGTGAGTTTCACTTAATTAACTTCTGAGGCTTAGGAATACATTTGCTTAGTATGATAATCAGTAGAGTCGTTCATTCAGTATAATGGATTTAATAGCCAGTTTGTTAAATATTTAATATGATTTAATAAATTATATTTAATACTTGGAATTGATGTAATTTAATAAAAATAAGCATTTTGAACCCCTCATTCTTCACAGTGAGACAATGATCATATGCTTCAGTAGAAAATCTACTCTCAGTTAAGCTGCACTAAGTTCAGTGGGAATTATTTACTGATTCTAGAATTTAGATAACTTGATTTATTTAATTAATTAAATCTTTGAGTAATTCCCATAATAAAGCTAATTCTACTTGTAGCAGAATATAAATAAAACCTTAAAAGAAATAAAAACAAGTATAGAGTGAATGCAAAATAAAACCAAATATTCTAAACAGATCTTAAATATACAAATACACTATTGGAAATGGAGAAAAGAATGCATCAAGGATTAAAATTGACTTTTCTGAATTCTCCAATTATTTAGAGAAGTACTGATGCCCTTTAAATGTGTTTCAAATAAATAAATAGTTACAGTCAGGTTTGACAACTAAACAATAGAAATGTGCCCATATAATTCTCCTAGCAGTGTTATAGGAGTGGTTTTTAATGCTTTCTTCAAAGATTTTCCTCCCAGATTCTATCCTACTCTTCCCTTTCCTCTTTCCTTTTTCCCCTTTCCTTTCTTTCCCTTTCTCCTTCCCTTCCCTCTTTCCTTCCCTTTCCTTCCATTTCTTCCCCTCCCCTCCCCTTCCCTTCCTTTCCCTTCCCAGGAATTATTTAAGATTGGCTAGTAGTTGTTACTTGTAGTTGTAGCTGTTCATTATCTGGGAATTTTGGAATCTTATGATCTTAAGACTTGGAGAAGGTTGAGGATTGCCTGCCAACTATGTTAGTCCTAAGGCAGGGGTTGGCTCTTTTATGACTCGTGGACTTCAACTCCCAGAATTCCTGAGCCAGCCATAAAAGTCATAAAAGAGCCAAGGTTGCCTACCCCTGTCCTAAGGGAAGATCTTATCAATAGCATTATCTGCCTTCAGATGAGAAATAAGGAAGCTCACCATTCCCTGTTCTCAGCTTTGCCATCTTTGATGTCTCCTTTTCTCTTTTCTATAGGATCATCCCCACTATTTCCACTATGCTTCACCTGAGATGTTTAAGCTCTAGTAGGTTCCTTGGTTCTCTAATTATGAATTCGTGTTCTTTCCTGGACTCCAGATCAATTATGAGAAAGCAGGTCCGGCCCTTCCTCAATCTTGCAGCTCCTCTACTTGGTGCCAAACGCATGGAATATACTGAAATCCGTCAACTCCCGTGAGTAGCTCAGTTCTAACCATGATTGTAAACTAGTCCCTGCTTGAGGTCTCACTTGGTGGGATTAGCGGTATTGAGATCTCATCTAATAAAACATAATTATCCAGTTGTCTGCTAGTAGTATCTATTGATTGCTTTTCCATGTAAGGGGTTTAGAATTTGGCTCTACTTTGGAACATTTGATTATATGTAACCATATATTTAGGTCATTCCAGATATAGGTCTGTATCCACAGTGAAAATACTGTACGTCTTCAGAGGCACCCTTTTATTGATTACTTGGCATATATTAAAAATCTAAGAACTATGAAGAATCAAGTAAAAGAACTGATGGCTGGATTTTCATAACTTGTTAAGCAGATGTGGCCATATGCACATATCTCATGTCCTGAGATTGTCCTGCCAAAATTTGGTGGGAAAGACCTTATTTTCATCAATTTATTTTCCCTGCCAAATAAAAGGACCTTTTCCTCAACCTGAAATGCTTGTTTTCACAGAAACTCTTGATCTTTTCATATCTGTTTGAGAAGCAATGATCAAAACTGGGTAATATTTCAGATACAGACTTCACATTTATTCATGGTTTAAACTGAGCAGTGCTAATAAATGTTTGGAGGGTAATTTCACTTGATCCAAGAGTTTAGGCTTTCCTTTCTTTGTCTTTAATGCCCTGATTAATGCCCTGGTTTTTGCTCACCATCTCCATTACTTCTGCTCATGCAGGTATTCTGTTGACCAAATGTATGACATTGTAGCTGATGTTGGCAGCTACCGGCTCTTTGTTCCCTGGTGTAACTACTCCCGCATAATTTCCCATCACAGCAAAATCTTCAAGGCTGAACTGGAAGTGGGATTTCCTCCTGTGGTTGAGCGCTATGTCTCGGAGATCTCCTCAGTGCCTCACTGTCAAATCCGGGTAATGCATGATATTTGGATGGTTTAAAGTTCTGGTTACAAATTGAGTGTTTTTTTTCCAGAAAATGGCTGCATTCACAAGATGCTCTAATCCCCAAATTAGTTCATTCAGTTAACCCAATTTTCTAGGCTGTAATGACACTTTGACTCAGAAACCAACAGACTGAAATGTGGTCAGCCATTTTGTGGATCAACCAGTGTTTCAATTGTGTGGCTGACATCTTGACTTTTTTGACCACTCCCCTGATTGTCCCTGAGGGGTAATATTGTTAACCCAACTTGAATCTGGTTTCAACTATTGTAGCTGCTGCTTATGATTCATTTCCCCTTTTTTGGCCACTGCTCTCTTCACACACAAAGCAACAGCAGCCTGGGAGAAACTATATTATGTCATTGCCCTTTCAGAAAGAACACTAGTGTTGCAACAGCTTATCAGTTGATATGTGACAAACTTCAGCTAATCAGTGGTTCTCAACCTGTGGGTCGGGACCCCATTTGGGGTCGATCGACCATTTCACGGGGGTTGCCAAGCAAGGCTGTCCGCCATTTTTTTTGTCCACCATTTTTTCCGGCGGGTGCCTTACCTCCCTTGGGCTGGGCCAGCTGGTGGTTGGCCTGCTCCATCTCTGCCACTTGCCAGCTACGCCTTGGCCGGCGCAGGGGGCAGAACCACGCATGTGCGGCGCTCCCGGGCAGGGAAAGTCCTCAACTTACGACCGGTTGGGTAGTCCTCGACTTACGACCGGTTTAGTCCTCGACTTACGACTGGTTTAGTCCTCGACTTATGACCAGTTGGGGTCGCGGCATTAAAAAGGTTGAGAACCACTGAGCTAAGTCATCAAAGCCAAAGTTAGATTCCCTTTTTTAATGCATTGATACTGAGGTTTTTAGTATGTTCCCACTTGAAGATTTGCTATAGTTGACCACAACCTGCTACCTTCAGGATATGCTGATGCTGAAGGCCATAATCTAATAATGTATGTGGAGAGTACCAAGTTAGAGAATGCTGGTCTCCACATTCATTTTTTTTTTTAAAGTATTTTTGTTATCCAACCCTTTATCTGAAAACACAAATTCCAGTATTATTTTTCCCCTAGAGGTGATATGATACTAATTCCTATCAAGAAATGTGTATCACCTAACATTAGGTTAGCCCCCATTCTGTGGGCCTTTCAGAATGCCTTTAGATCATGATTATTCTTTCAGGCATGGGTTTTGATTAGTTGAGGCCATATGGGTTGGTTACTACTTTCCTTGGTTCCCATGGTATGTCCATTTTTGCTTTTCTTATTGCTTGGTTTGTAATTTTTAAATTTTGTTTGCTACCCAGAGTTTTGTTTGCAAGGTGAGAAACCATATAAATTTATTAAATAAAAAATAAAAAAAATAAAATGTGTATGTGTATGTGAAATTCTATTAAGTCACAGTACCATACATATTCAAAAGTTCATCTATTTTGTTTTGTGCAATTGATAGTGTCATAGTTGGATCCTAAGTCAAGAGTATTCAGTTGTCAAGTGATTCCAGTTTCCCTCTACCCTTCTCATATATATTGCAGGAAAAGTTTTTGTTATGCGGATATCTTGTGCGCCTTCCCCAGCCATGGCATCCTCAACTGAGTGGAATTGAATTCCCAAAATCTCAACAATGACCATACTTGCTTGGAATTCTGGGTGTTGAAGGCTGCATATCTGAAAAATGCTCAATTATCCATCATGTTTCTGGACACAAATCAGGTGGAGAGTTTCTCTGACTTTCTTCATGGGAAGAGGAAATTCTCCAAGTTTCTCAAATACAGGAGTCCTTTAAGATGTTCCCCATTAGGGGCATTTCTTCCTGAAATCTTCCTTTGGAATTTTAGATCCAAGATAGCTGCAGGTTGCAGGAAAACAATTCAGGACATTCATGCTCATCTTTTGATTCCCTTATCATTAAATAAATGCACCTGTGAGAACTCTCTTGAATTTCTGTTGCTTTAAATAATTTCTAAAGCAAGTTCTCTTTTGTCACTATGAAGGAAAATAATGGAAAAAAATAGTTCCTTAGATGCTAGCTTTAATAGCCCTTCTGCCTGAGTTCAACGACCACCAGATTAATCCTACAGCAAAAGAGTTGTAAAGTGCAAGCTGGTTTTTTTTCTTTTTAAATGAGTTTAAACAAGCAGGCATTGATTTTGATGATTTGTCTTATCTTTCAGGCTGTGAGTAAAGATGGGCGGTTATTTCAGCATCTGGAGACACTGTGGCAATTTAAGCCAGGACACACAGGACGCCTGGATTCTTGCATGCTCAAGTTTTATGTAAGTGCCTTTCATATACTAGTTCCTGATAAAGGGGAGGGACTCCAAAACCAACAGAATATGGGGCAAGAATTCGTAAGTTGGTAAAGTCCAGTTTTATCACAAGTACAAAGGTTCATGTATACTCTAATTATTTCAGCACTGTAAATTTGTTACCAAATGATCAGTTCACTTCATGTTTAGTTTTTGTTGTACTGATGTCCTGGTACTATTGTACATTTATTTAAGCAGGCATAGATGTGGTCAAACATGAGAAATCTTATATATACGTGTCTATGCAAATTGATTTTATTTCACCTCATTCACAGGTCTCCTTTGAATTCAAATCCACTTTCCATTCGCAACTGGCTAATCTTTTCTTTAATGAGGTAGTCAAGCGAATGGTCTCAGCCTTTGAACAGAGAGCAGAGAAGCTGTACAGCACTCAAACTGCAGCCCGGCCACACCAGACAATTCACTGCACATGATGATGGTTTTGAGAATACTAAAGTCTGAGTCCACCTTCCTGATCTCACAGAGCACTCTTCTTTTTTGCCCACATCTGTATCCCTTCTTGGATGTTTTATTCATGGACATTATTTATGCCTATTTACCTTGCAAAAAAAACTCTCAAAAGTGCACATTATTTAAATGATTCTGCTATTTTATTGTATGTTTTGATCTGTTATAAATTATTGGACATTTAATTATGCTGTTGTAAGATGACTCTTTGTTATAATGGAGATCCCTGACCATCATTGAAAATCACAAATATTATAATAGAATTTTAAATTATGTTTGAAACAGAAGATGGGATTTTTTTTATGCTTCAGGTTCTTCAAAAGTGGCCTATTTATTGATTCACTAAACAATTTCTTGAAATATAAGGAAAATAGAGCTATGTGGCTAAACACAACTTTTTTTCCTTCAGTGGCATTCAGAGTAAGTTCCTAGACTCTTCCCTCTTTTTTTGTTAAGTCTCTCTTCTCTTCTAGATGGCATGGGATCAATCTTTTGTTTCTTTCCTTGGAGTAACTACTTTCCTTTCAGATTAATACAAACTACTCTAAAATTTATTGAAAAATGGAATAAAAAAACGAGGTGGGCAATGAATTTTTCTTTAGTAGCTCAGTTACTAAAGAAGTTACTAAAATGAGCAAATTGATCAAAAAGTGCTTCTTGTAAGCCAGCCTTTTACTCAAAATTTTCTGGGTAGAGGCTTTTGTGAATAGCAGTAGCATTTAGCCTAATGCTGTTAAGTAATTGAAAAACTGCAACTATTAGTCTAGGCTAGTCATATAGGAGTCCTAGCAGTTACATAGACAGTGATGCAATCTAACCTCTGATCTCCTGAAAGGAGATTTTATATCTGAACTGCCTGGATAGAAGCAGGTGATTGCCTAAGACAGAAATTGGTGACAAGGTTTAGTTTAGTTGCAGCAGAGATGACGCCACCAAGCTGACTCTGACTCCCACTCAGATGGCGTAATTCCCTAAGTACAGGAAAAAAAACTATCACTTGTGCCAAAAATAACAATTTCCTATTCTGAGGCAGTCCAAGTGAGGATATCCTGGAAGATAAGGGAATCCTTGCTCAGGGTTCCCTAGAAATATGTAGAATTTAGAACTAGGGAGGAAAATTAAAAGAGAAAATTTGTATCTCGATGAAACATAATTGTGCATGTTTGCATTAATGTCAAAATCAAAGGTAAAACTGAATTGTTTATTACAAACAATCCAAAGCCATATGCATTAAGCTTCCATTATTCTGCCTGTTAGTAAATATTTATCAATATAACACGGGCAACAATTGTCAATAGTACTTGACAATTATGTGTGCCAGTGTGATCACAGAAAAAAGTGACAATAAAGGTTATCTTATCTTAGGACAGATCTTCCATAAAATATAGTTCAGCTATAACTTGCTGACTTACCTGTTTTTTAACTGGTATTCCATATACTAACTACGAATTGTTTTCTGTTTGCCGTCTCAAAGTGGCAATGGGTAAGTAACTACTATCAGTTTCAGTAGTCAGGGTCAGTGGGAGCTGAGGGTTACAAAGAGGAGACTGCTTGTGGCTCTGGGGCTGCACGTTGCCCCTTAGGTAGTAAAGTAGAACATTTCAGTTCTAATGAACCAATTTTTGAGCACTGATCTTATTAGCAGCAAATTGTCAAATAGAAGACTTGCAGTATGGCTAATTTTAAAGGAGTAGGGCAAGTGAAACACAGAACTCCCACTCTCTGGGAAGATTCAACAAGGCAAGAGGGATATAATGCTCATGTTCTTTTCCAGGCTTTACCAACATGAATAAAAACTTGCAAGGGTCCTCCAGCTCCCCTTCACTTTAATAAGGTTTCCACAGTAGGATGTCTTGAAGTATTAACCCCCCAAGTCTGATTTCCTGATGAGTTCTGTCTCTTCTTCCATTTCCACAACGGACTCCCATTATATCTGTGGCTGAGTATGGAGGTCAGTCTTTTGCACAAAATCTTCTTTATGGGTGCCATCACAGTAGGGAGGATTCTTGGTATATTTGCACCCACATAACCAGGCCTTTTTCGATTTTTCAGCTGTGAATCTCAGGGGAGAGATTTCTGGGGAACTTTTCTTATGGGTTCCATCACAGAAGGGCTGTTAGATACACACAAAACCAAGACTGTAAACAAGCCTAACAAAAGAAAGCATTGTCTGTCTATGGATTTTATATTTTATAGTTGCATTTTTTCTCAGATTGAAAAAACATCCTAACCTGGGAAGCCTGAAGAGGCAAGTTTGTTTTGCAATCTTTTTTTTTTAGCTTGTATGTGTTTTTAAAACTTTGTATTAGCAAAAAGAGAACTGGCTTCTTCAAACTCAGCCAATCTAACTATTGCAATAATGGACTGACCCTCTACCCAGATTTGTTAAGACAGTGGATTCCAAGTTCAAACCAAAATGAAGGTAAAAGAAACATGGAGAAATGCTGGAAGTCTACCTGCTTTTGGCTATGTCCACAAGCACACCAGGCATAGCGTTTCTCTATTATTAAGTCCACTGGAAAAGGTTCCTTGGATGCGATCACTGGTTTGACTGATGAGGCTGAAAGAGCTGAGCAGCTTCTTATCTGCAATCAGGCAAGCAAGAAAGCATTGGCCTTATAAAAAAAATGAGACATCTGATTAACCAATGCCATCCTTTATTAGGTTAAAAAGTTCAAGGCATGCAATTGAAAATAGGGAGAAGTACACATTTTTTTTCTCTTCCACTTCTTTCTGCTACGAGGAAATGCAGAAATTGAATATAGCAGAACAAAGGTAGAAATATATTCACCTACCCATTTTCTACCTTGAATGTTCACTTCCAAAGTCATCTTCTAGTGCACTCAACATCTGACAGTTACATTTGTCTAACTAAATACAGGAAGTTCTTATGATCATAATTGATTTCCTTTGTTAAACAAGACAGTTAAGTGCATTTTGCCCCTTTTTATGACCTTTCTTGCCAGTTGTGATTAAGTGAATCACTGCAGTTGTTAAGTTACTTACATGGTTGTTAACTGAGCCCGGTTTCCCCACTAACTTTGTCAGAAGGTCACAAAAGGTGATCACATGACCCCAAGACACTGCAACTGTCATAAATACATGTCAGTTGCCAAACGGTTGAATTTTGATCATGTGACCACAGGGATGCTGCAATAGCCATGTAAAAAATGGTCATAAGTTACTTTTTTCAGTGCCATTGTAATTTCAAGTGGTCACTAACGAATGGTTATAAGTTGAAGACTACCATAATGGATATATTTTGAGTTTTGTTTTATGTGGCCCATGATTTGATATCCTCATCATTTTATTCCCTGATTTATACTCTGCTTTATTTTGTGTAACTCAAGGCAGTTTACATTATTTTCTCCCATTTTTCCTATAACAACTCTGTTAGTGGGTTGGGCTGAGAAAAAAACGATTGGCCCAACTCACTTGGGTGACTTCCATGCCTAAAGAGAGGACTAGTTCAGCATCTTAGCTGCTACATCTAATTATCTTATAAAGTCGTAATGCTGCTGGGATCTGGACCGAGGCTTTCCTGTTCTGACTTGCTAAGCAGCTCGATTTCTACTTGGAAAGAGCAACATGAAGGCTGAAGTGGCTGCTTGTTATTCAGTTGTTAAAGTCATGTTTGATTCTTTGCCACCCCGTGGACCTTAGAGCAAGCCAGACCCCACTACCCTCCACTGTCTGATTCTGCCGTAACTCATTCCCACTGTGTCAGTAAAACTATCTATCTCATCATCTGCCATTCCCTTCTCCTTTTGCCTTCAATTTTTCCCAACATCAGTCTTTTCCAATGAATCCTTTCTTCTCAGTTGGTGGTCAAAATATTTGAGCTTCTGTTTTAGTAACTGTTCTTCCAAAGGATAGTCAGGGTTGATTTCCTTTAGGATTAAGAAGTGGTTGCAGGCATATATATTATTATTATTAATAATAATAATAATAATAAAACTTCTGTTAAAGGAGAGATGGAATTTTTGTGATCTTCTAGATACTGCTGAAGTACAACTAACTTTCAACATTCTCCCCTTTGCTTATGGCTTATGGCAAACTCGCCACGTCACGTGATGTGTCACAACATATCACGACTTTTTTTGCATTGTCGGAGCTGGGGTGGGCACGGCCTCCATATGATGCAATCGGCCCATAGGCTGGCAGTTTGACACCCCTGGCTTATGGTGTCAGAAGTTGATCAAAGTTCAAGTTCAGCAATTACCAGAGACCCATGTTTTCCATTCCTGGCAAAGTGTTTTTATAGAACCAAAAACTCCAAGTGTTTTTATATAAAAGTGTTTTTTACATAACACAACTTATTCCTCTAGGAATCACTAACTCCCGTTGTGTTAGGAATTTATTAATCCTCATCTTATGTGAGAAAATCCACACTGTTTAAAAAGACATGTATGGGAAAGGCATATTCAACTGTGCTCTTGTTTATTTTTTGAACTATCTTTTGTGGTGTATCATTTGGTCCCAGCATACGTGTCTGTTCCTAACCACAATGAGGCCAACATGACATTATGGAAACTGACCTGTCATACTTGCGTCATGTTACACTGAAGTACATAAGAGGTTGTGTTTGTACTAAAACAATGTAAAATATATTTCATCACTTGCCCACTCTGAATAGGGCATTAAGAACTGTTTGGTAAACTAGGAAAAGTTTGCTCTGGTGCACTCCTAGGAAATCAGTGTTTGGATGTCACAAGTTTGGATATCATTTTAGGCTGGACCTATATAAAAGCTATTCTTTTAGAACCTGAGAGACAGAATCCATGCTCAAATACAGGCGATAGATTAGAGTAAAAAAATTCTGCACATTATACCATGCCAGGGACACTGAAGTAAACACTGTACTATAGTATTTTTATTTTTGAAATGTTAACGAGTCAAAAATAAATCCCATTTGGTGTTCACTGCTTTTCTATATGAAGCTCTGCAGCAGACTCACTTACCCTACATATATCCTTCTCTACAGACATCTCAAGAAAATGTTCAAAAATTTTGCATTTCGGCCTCTGTATAAAAAAGCAATACAAACTGAAAAGTCATTGAATTTCGGGGCGTAGGGAAGGAGAGAGGGAGAAAGGGGCCTCCGGCAAACTTTCCAAGCTTCTGTGCTTACCTGCGAGAAAAAAAGCCGACAGAAGGAGCCTGCTGCTGACGCCACGAGACCCCCGGTTTTGTGCAGCCCGGGCATGGTTGGCAAACAAGCTCCTCCCGCCACTCGGGTCACCTTCTCTGCAGCGCGCCGGAAGCGGGGGGGGGGGGACATGGCAAGCCCCGCCCACAAATGGTGGAGAAAGGTTCCGAGGCAGTGAGTACCGCGGTTGAGAAAGCTTTTGCAACCTGGTGACGGCTGGGGGGTGATAGGGATTGAAATCTGAGACATCCGGGAAGCGTCGGTGATTAGAGTTGGGCGGTTTGGTTGCATTCGTGTGTTAAAACGCTTGATTGCAGCCTTTTGCTTCTTTTGCCACTCAAGACTTCATTAACGTTAGGAACAAAATGACATTAGAATGAGTAGCTTTAAAGGGGTATAGATATTTGTGCGCTTCACCTACTAATAATAAAGTAATAAAGACTAAACGGCCGGTTTAACACCTACCTTAACATCGGATTCCTAAATGTCTCCTATCCCATAAATAGCAGAAGTAGGATATTAAATACCCCCTTTGATATGCCATTGAAAGCATTATATCTAAGTATAGGACGTGAGAGAAACAGTACATATGAATGTAAAATGTCAAAGAAGAGGAACTGGTGAAAACGAGATGTAAATGAGCATCTCTTAAGTATATTTCCACTTATTTATATTGTATGTAAAATAGGTAAGATCTTGGAAGATATTGTTCCTCAAAATGTTCTAAGAGGGGAGAACGAAAGAACCTCATCTGGTCTGATTCTTGCTGTCTTCAAAGTATGTTTAAGAAATAATTAAGTATTTGTTTAAAAAGGAACACACACTGGGTTTTGATGGAGTATCATTAGCTACATAATTCCCCTCCCCATTGATCTAAGTTCAATACTGACATAATTTCAGATTCAAAACTTAGCCAAGATTCCCACATTTTCAAGCTAATTAATTTGTGTTTTGCCAGGAGGGTATTTTGTCCTCATGTAATTAAAAACTATTCTTCTCTCCAAATATTTGGAATTTTTCTGATGCTCAGTTTTGTAACTTATAGTACTACCTGGTTGGGGATGCATGATGTGTTACATAGACTTCAGCTTCTGGAAAAAAATAATTTGGATTTTGATTTCCAACATTTTAATAATTTTACTGCTTTTAAAAGTTTAATGCTTTTTATTGTTATGTTTTTATTATTTGTTGTGCCTTGTTTTTAAACTTTGTTGCCCAGGGTCACATATGTGTGATGGTGGCCAAATACATTTATCGAATGAATAAATAATATACATGTATTTCTACTGTAATTGGAAATTTCCAAAGCAAAGAGATAGCAGTCAACATTATTTGATGAAAGATGGAAATTATGTTTTTTTAAAAAATATTTCCTTTATAATTTATGCCACAGAGGTAAATAATTATTTTATCAGCATCCTCAAAGGGATATGAAGTCGCCCAGACTGTGGGATATACAGGCAGTCCTTGTTTAGTAACTGCCTCATTTAGTGACTATCTGCTGTTACAACAGTGATGAAAAATAACTTATCGACCAGTCCTAGCATTTATGACCTTTGCAGGCCTGTAAAGGAAAAGAAAGTTGAAGTAAGATCACAAGCCCAATCGGTTTCACTTAGTGACCACTTAGTGACAAAGTTGCTGGTCTCAATTGAGCATGAGTTTTAAATTCCTGTTGGTTGCCTCCAGCATAGCTTTATTGTTCCATCAGCTGACCTCTTTATAACCTTCATGTTGAAAAACTGATATGTAACAACATTGCCTGTGTTTCCCAATGCACATATACACACAGATATACAAGAGTGGGGACCAGAGAAGACACATAGATGCAACATGTCACTTCACTACCCACAAGGAAATACAGATGCCTCCTATAGCCAATACTGAGTAAAGAGATTGCAAAGATTATAGAAACCATGTTTTGCATTCTTTCCCTATCTTTTGTTAATTGAATGATACTTCCTCTCTTAATTTGCATCTGTGAAGCAGATGCCTCTCTGCTTCCATCAAAATCAAATCATGCTCAACTGAGGACCCAGCCTGTTTAACACACCCATTGCCATATGGGAATCTCTTCCTCTTGGCACAATTCCATATGGCTGTGGTGTGTATGAATACTGTAGAATGTGTCTGATCACAAGAGTTTCTTGATCACAAAGAAGTCACTCACATATGATTCTGTGTTTGTGGGTGTACAGTATATATTTTAGGATGAAAGAAATTAAGAAAAGGATCTTTAGTTGCTCTTGCACATTGGGATAGTATTCTCTGGGGGGGAAATGTAAAATTCTTTATGGGATGTCACAATAATGGCATCCTTTGAAGTCTCTGCTGTCAACAGAACCTGAGGCAACTCCCTCTAGGGTAGGGCTTTTCAACCTTTTCACAGATTTTACCACTTTTAGGACATGACAATATTTGAGTACCACCAGTGCTTTAGCAAGGTGTCAAAAACTTGATGACTAAAAAAAAGGAGGGGATTTTGAGTTTTACTGATTAGATTCATTTGTTGTTGTAGAAATGGCTAGTTTATAATAGTATGGAAAAGTAAAAAGTTGAGGTTCAATGTTAATGCTTCCTTCTACTGCAACAGAGGAAGTCTGTTCTTTTTCCCTTCTCCCCCTCACTTCCCCTCCTTTTTCCTCCCCACTGTGTCCTACTATTTGCTTTTGTGTTTTTGTATTTTATTCTATAATCTAATAAAATATTACAAACTGTAGAAAAAAAAGAAAAAAGTACCAGTTTTAATTTCTTCAGTGGCTGTTCCTTTGCTGAATCCCTTTCCCTTTGCACTGACAAATGTATGATGAATTTATCCATGTTTATTAATATGCGCCACTACCAGCTAGTTCAGGGCTCTTCAAACTTGGCACTTTTAAGACTTGTGGACTTCAACTCCCAGAATTCCTCAGCCCTCATGGCTGGTTGAGGAATTCTGGGAATTGAAGTCCACAGGTCTTAAAGTTGCTAAGTTTGTAGGCTCTTGAGCTAGCTGGTAGGCCCTTCTTCCTCTCTCCCTTCTGAGCATTTCCACAGTGTAGCAAGACTGTACCCCCCCCAATCCCTTCCCTGTACCCTTAAAGGCACAAGAATCAAATGCAAAGCAAGAAAAGCTCACAAAATAAGCCTCCGGTTTTTTTCTCTTTAAGCTGCCTCAGGCGTGTCACGTGTCACAATGTTGCAATCCTAGACTGAAAGGCTCCGGCAATTGTGAAAAGCTTTAGCTTTAAATTAAGCTTCTTTACCTTCAAAGAAAACTTTCTAAAAGCCATAGACAGACTAAAAGGGAGTAAAACTAATTTCATTTGTTTAAAGGGAATTTGTTCCCTTTAAAGACATTTGTTGTCTTTTTTTCTCTGCCCCCACCCAAATCACCTCCTTTTATAGCCTCTCCTCTCCTCCCCCCCTTTTCTTTAGTTCACCTCCAGCTCCAGCTGCTTGCGGAAGCGCCAATCAGCTGGAGCCCTGCTGGCTCCTGGGGCTTCTGCCAGCCCAGACAGCTGCAGCTGCCTCTCCCTCAGGTTTGGCTCTCTTAGGCTCATTTCCCTTCGCTGCTACACTTGACTAGCAGTCATGTACCACCTGCCATGTGGCAAAGTACCACAGGTGGTACATGTATCGGTTGAAAAGCCCTGTTCTAGGGAATGAGGTTAGGATGATTAGATCTGGGTTGCAAAAAGATTCAAAAACGCTTAAACATTTTTTTTGCTGCTATGTCATGGCTATTGGGAATTTTGCAACTCAGATTCACTAGCACTTGCAATATCTTTTTCAATGAGATGTTTCTTTGCTATTATTCAATAGATATCAAATTGAACATCTTGGATGCTTCCAAATGGATTGTCTGTGGCTATTCCCAAAGATTGGTGCAGGCAGTTACCAGGAACCAACAATAACTTCAATACATTTTCAACTTGAGATCTAAGGAATCTAAAACCTGGCTGAGAATAGCCAACAGGGCAGAAGAAAGATATTTTTGTCTTCACTCTACACTTTTGAATCCTTTGTAGTACACAATATAGAAGATAACTTATAAGTTTCCAGAAAATTGACTATCTAGCCTTCCAATATTACAGCGTTCTTTTGAAGGAAGAATTGTAAAAACTTTTATAACTGGGGCTAAATTAGAAACCAGTATATTGAAAATATCTAGGATCAAAATGGAAATGGATTCGCGATAAATTCAAAAAAGAAAAAAAATGCTGATATTGTTTATGTATAAGAAATGCATATAAAATTAGGTCATACCTAATTGTCAGAGCAGAAAAAAAAGGACAAGATGGAGCTCAAGGTTGACTCAGCCTTCCATCCTTCTGAGGTCAGTAAAATGAGGACCCGATTGTTGGGAACAATATGCTGACTCTGTAAACAGCCCAGAGAGTGCAACATACTATATATACTATATACCAGGGGCTCCCAACCTGTGGGCTGGGGCCCGGTACTGGTCTGTGGCCTGTTGGCCATTGGGCTGCAGGAATGGCTGGTGAATGCGTGCACATATGCACACACCCTCCCAACTCGCTCTAGTGCCATCCTGATGAGCAAGTGCCAAGTTTTGATGTCACCTCTGTCCGGAAAACACTGCAGACAGTTAACATTCGGAAAGCAGCAAGCCTAGATAACATCCCTGGACATGTCCTCAGGGAATGCGCAGGGGAGCTGGCTTGTGTTCTCACAGATATTTTCAACCTCTCATTGCAGCAGGCAGTGGTCCCATCATGTTTTAAGATGGCCATCATCTTGCCAGTGCCAAAAAAGTCCACAATTACAGGCCTCAATGATTACAGTCCGGTTGCACTGACATCCACCATCATGAAATGCTTTGAGAAGCTGATAAAGGACACTATTGTATCTAGCTTCCTGCCAGCTTTTGACCTGCTTCAGTTTGCCTACCGATGAAATCGCTCTACGGAGGATGCTATTTCTTCCGTTCTCCATCTGAGCCTGAAGCACTTAGAGAAAAGAAATACTCATGTGCGTTTGCTGTTTTGTCAACTTCAGTTCGGCGTTTAACACAATCATTCCCCAGCATCTAGTAGACAAACTGGGCCTTTTAGGCTTAAACACTCCTTTGTGCAACTGGATTCTTGATT